TGATTATATAATTCATTAGAAATTTAGCCAATAGCAATTACAAATTTTACGTAGTTACTATGTATTGATAAGCGATTATACTCTTGACGACGTGGTATAACCGTTTTGGTGTTTCGCCTCCTCCAACAATGTGAACTATGTCATGGTAACGATAGTTTTAACATTTGTCAATAAACGTCAAAAAAAAATGGAACGCTTCGGTTCAAGCTCTGAATTATATAATCGTATCGAATACCACTCGAGCAAACGAAAATATTCGATTATACTAACCTCCTCACTCGACGTATATCCTTAAAACACCACTCCAGCTACGCTGTCGTGGTGTTTCGCAGAATACGTCTCGTGACTCGGAAGTATAATCGAATATTTTCTATGCTCTTGTGATATTATAACTGATTATATAATTCATTAGAAATTTAGCCAATAGCAATTACAAATTTTACGTAGTTACTATGTATTGATAAGCGATTATACTCTTGACGACGTGGTATAACCGTTTTGGTGTTTCGCCTCCTCCAACAATGTGAACTATGTCATGGTAACGATAGTTTTAACATTTGTCAATAAACGTCAAAAAAAAATGGAACGCTTCGGTTCAAGCTCTGAATTATATAATCGTATCGAATACCACTCGAGCAAACGAAAATATTCGATTATACTAACCTCCTCACTCGACGTATATCCTTAAAACACCACTCCAGCTACGCTGTCGTGGTGTTTCGCAGAATACGTCTCGTGACTCGGAAGTATAATCGAATATTTTCTATGCTCTTGTGATATTATAACTGATAATATGTGTACAAAATTTGAGTTGTGTATCTCAAACGGTTCCTGAGATATCGACAAGAAACAGAAAAATATCTTTTTTTTGATGCCCTATATCTCAAAAACATTGCATTTGCGAACCTATGTCAATAAGAACTTTTTTTCTTAGAATAAGCCCAAGAATCACACACAATTTTCTGACATATGCTTTAAAACACCCTGTATACATACAATGTGACTCACTAAGAACCAAGACACCCCTTCTAGATGTACTTCTAGGTACTTCATGATCTACTATGATATTTTTTAACAATTTTTTGAAAATTGTTCCTCAGTAAGCCACAAAAATTTAACATTCCCCTAAAATAATTTTCCAAAAAATCGCTCACCAAAAAAAAATAGGCAACTTGCATAAAAATTTAATTTCTTTTAGAACTGCGTAAATTTGTAGTCTATAACCGATAACAACTAACAGTGGTAAAAAAAAACAATTTCTTCAATGCTAGAAATTAATTGCAGATGTTTAAAATTATATAAAACTTTTAATTTAAGAAAATATATGCAAGTTACCCACTGCAGCATGCTATGGATTGCCAACTGAATCATCGTAGTTGGTACAGCAAGTATATCTAAAGTTTATATACACAAAAAAAATTTCATTCAAATTAGACGTAATATAAAAATTTTAGAGGAGAGCCATATAAAATTACAATATTCTTAACTGCTATTCTTATTCAATTTTATTTTTCATATCATTTGAAGTAGGTACCTAATAGTTAACAAATAATGACCAACATTTACAAAATTTCTCAAACAAAATACAACCACCTGATAAAAGATAAAATTATATAAATATTTACTTTTAGATTAGAATTTCCCAACAAAACTAAGAAATTGAAGCAATAATAGTACATTGTGTAACGAGTAACGCTGGAGCGTTGCGCTATGAAAATAACATCACACCGTTGTACTATCTGGCACTTTCCATGCACATAACCCCCTACGCTATAGGTCCCATAGGGATTATAATCATAATTTATAAAACTTTTATTACTTTTTGTAATTGAAATACATATTTTAATAAATCAAAGTATTTTTTATATTAACTAAATAGTTTTTGTCAGTCTCCAGCAAAGCTAGTGTTTGCATTCACATGAAGCACAGGACTGTTTTAAACTCTTAGTAGCAGCATACACAATAGGTCATAAAACCCACAGTGTGTCCCACTTAAGATTGAACATTTTACAGCTTCCTTACGAGTTGCTTTAGAAAAAATATTGTTAAACAAATGTTGCTTCTATTTTTATTGTTCATCCCTGTAAAATATTTTCAACTATACAGGGAACTATACGAGGGAATTTATATCTGTGTTCAATGATAAAAAAAATAGTAATTCCATTTGAAAAAAATAGTTATACAAGTTTGAATATTTTGAAGTTTAAGATGCCGCACAATATGCGTCTTGTAAAAATAATTTCCTTTCCATAGCCCAAATGATAGAGAATTTTACTCTGAATCAAAAGGGGGAAACTGTGAATCTGTATCATCAATAGCTTAGAGGATATTTGATGTTAAAGATAATGATGCAATCGGGAAAATTTTCGAAAAAAGTTGAATAACTCGGAAACGAAGCGTCCTTGACCTAAGGTATGGTATAGAAAGTCAGTCTGAAATTTAATGAGGAATCTAGTAATGGCCTCATATACAGTGTTCTATTTAAAAAAGTATAGTTGGTTAGCACTCAGGCCCTGTATAGTTGAAAATATTTTACACGGATAAACAATAAAAATAGAAGCAAACATTTTTTCTAAAGCGACTCATAAGGCAGCTATGGGACACACTCTATATGCCAGGATTTAAAAAACTATTTTGAATTTATTTGAATTAGTTTAGGTAAGTTAAAGTAAACAGATAATAAAAACCAGTTCTGAATTCAAAAACTTAAAAAATTATGCAATACTGACAAGGGGAAAGTAAGGAAATATAAAACAGTTTCAATGTTTTTCTTGATTTTAAACTTGCCTTGAATTCAGCTGGTCCATGTTGCTTGAAAGTTGTTGAAGTTACTAATGGAGTTACCACGGCCCAAGAATCCCACTGCTCTGGTTCCTGCGAATGGTGAATGGCTGACGTGCTAAATCCTTTAGGAAAAGGAAGATATCCTTCTGGCTCACCCATACTAAGTCAGTAATATACTGAAAATTAAAAGCTACTATACTTTGACGACATGGTGGATACTAATATGATGCAATACCTATTTAATGTTTGGTATGCATTTATATATAAATATTTATTTTTCATATTTGTCATAAACATTTAATAATAAAATATATACCGAATTTTATAACTTAGATAATAACAATAATCTACTAATGGCCAATAAATAATAAATCACCGCTCACTCGAGGTAAGATTGGGTAAATATTACTATCTAGTCTATATTCTATCAATACTAAAAAGTTTAACATATTTTGAATAATGTAATGTAAGACTACATGATTATAAGGGAGCCTAGTAAAGTAAGGAATGGTAAGAATAGTGGTACTAAAATTGTCTCTGGTAAAGACCAGTACATGTCTTTATGTCTAACCTCTAGCAATGACGGTGAGGACGAAACCTAAGAACAACTACCTACCTACAACTATAAACTTTAAATTTACACCACTTAAACTATATAAAAAAATTAATTTATAAAGTGCTTGCTCAAACTTGTAAATGTGTGTTTATCATAGAAAATATAGTACTACTATATTTTCTATGGTGTTTATTAAAGTAAAGTTAACTTCGTTTCACTTATGGAATGCAAGTGATTTCGTAAGAATTGAACTCGAGCTTTAACAAGACAAGATAAACGTTTTCCTTTTACAACAAATCTTAGCTAATCTAACATAATCTTAGTAAATACACTATTCATTATGTTGTCGTTGTCCTTTTACATATTTTTGTCTTAGCTAAATTTCAATTTTCTTGCATAATCTTAACTGGACTAATTTGACAAAAGGTCAAGTCAAACGGAACATGAACATGGTAGGTGCGTTTTGATAGATTGATTCCGGAATTGAATTATGCAGAATGGGCCTTTTATTGCAAGCATATTCTGAATTTCTGAATCCGATTGCAACTTTTGCTTCTGTGGCTTGAAACGGAATTATTAGAAATATTAGAATTAAATGGTGGGGAGATAAAATTTGTGAGGTTACTTAGGTAGCTGGTGTAACCATTATTCTATGGCTAGAAATTGGCCTCAATGATTTGGGATCGAGGGGGATTATCCCTCTTTATCCTGCCTCATCTCGTGTAGGCCTGGACAGCCTTCGTAGGTGGGCCCCATCCGTCGTCTACCCCGACCGCAAATGCGGCCGGTGTAGGCGCTTTGTGGGACCTCCTTTTGTCCTGGCTGGGCCCCGCCGGCTAGGGCCCTTTCTTCTGGCGCTCTTCTTGCTTCGCCGGCTCGTCTGTGTAAACCCCGGGGGTAGTGTCATGTTTATGTGTGGTATGGTTGGGTAGGGTAGTGCGGCTATGCAGCCTGGGATGCGCTTTGCTAAGGTGGCCCTTAG